TTCCCCATCAATAATAGCAATGAATACCTTTCTCAAGCTGTCGGTTCTGTGAAAGCAGGCCTTTGGAAGGTCCACGTTTTTCCACTGAGTAAAAGTGTATTGTTGTCTTTCAATGTCCTTTCATCCCATTGTTACACCGGGTGTTACGGCAGGGTGACTCTGACGCCTTTCTGAATTTGATGAAGCTGACCTGATCTATACAAGTGACCGCTGTCCACCAACACTTTGAATATTGTAGGCAATTGACAAACAGAGACAATGAATGTGAAAGAGAGGTCGCTTTGCATGCAAATGTGATTTGTGTATCCGCACGAGCAAGAAACGAACACATATTTATTGTTTGGATGAAAAATGACACAACTGCCCGGGGACTTAAAGACAAGGAGATAACTGGCACCGACTAACCATTTGTATGGAGCACATACATGGTTGCACACAAAGCGCATGCAGATGCAAATGAGCGCGGAATTGAGAGGAATCATATGGAGCAGGGACGGATGGTTAGACCCGGGACTGTCTGGCAGGATTCAGGGATGTGTACATCATCTCTGAGGCGTTGATGGCCCCTAATGCAGAATAAGGAGAGCCAATCAACTCCTATCTATCCACTCTGCCATGGTGACACATCGTTGGGGTACTTCAACGCCTACGCAATGCCACATTCTGCTGACAAATCATTACATTAGAGATGTCGACGGAGAAGGAAGATAATAAGATTGAGTTACAGAGTTTCAGAGACATTATGAACACCTCTCATTTCCTCTATTTCTTCCACTCTCGCTATTCCCTCCCTCTATTAATCCTATGTTTGATAGTCATAAACTAAACTTTGAACAGACAAAGTTCTATGTATTGTACTCAAGGGCTCCTGGACCAGTTCAAATGTAGCCACCATCAATCTGATGCCAGTAAGCAAAGTTACATGTATTATTACATGAAATCCATCAACTCTATCAAAACTCTATGTTTGTTAACTTTTCTCAGCTGGATTTTATTATTATGTTTCAACCTTGTCTCATCAGGGGATGTAACAGTGTACCTTATTAATAACAGGTGTTACAGTATATCACTGCTTCTCACCCTTCATAAATATAAATATGCTTTGCTGATCATTCCTTTGTACTTAAATCTCATATGAATAGACTGAAAACGCACAAAAGGCAGTAAGAGAGGTGAAAGCTGTCAATCAGACACTGTTTTGTGGCTAACAGTTACAAGATTATACTGATTATCTTTATTTTTTTCGTGATCTGATACTAAGAATTTGCATCTCCGGCGCAGTGCTAAGGTTTTACAGACTTTAGATAAAATTTATTATCATCTCACATTTATTTGAAGCACAACAACAACCTGGAGATGTCCTAAAGATATGTGGAAGTGTGGCATTCTCTGAGAGGCACTTCGAACAACAGCTAAGTATAAAAAACTTTTTTAGTGCAAATGTTTCCTCACAGATGTGCAAGCCCAAATCTTCATTCTGGAATTTGTAATATTTTGTGTTTGCCTATAAATTCAAAACATGACATCTGTGGCATTGCCTGATAACTCTTGATGTGATGTGCTCACAATGTTATCAGAGACTCTTTTAATGACTACGGAGCAAGTATTTAATGAGCAGGCAGACAGAACCAAATTTGAACGTAAAAATAATTTGCAGACTGCCTGCTGTGCCATCTGACTGAAGCTAACCGCACCAATATGCAACCCCAGCACATCGTCTGTTCAGTCTTTCCCACTGCATACCTCCAGGCATGAAATAAATTCTAGAGGGAGACATCGGCAAAAGCCTTTCATCTTTAGGAGAGCTGGAGTCGTTTAAACAGCTGAAAGTGGTCACGGTATAGCTTTGATTTAATTTAGGTGTCTTCTGTTTACTGTAATTTATCTTGAGTAAACCTATTTTCAGCAACTACTGGTGACATGACTTTGTCTTTGGTGATTTGGGGAGTTTTTGCACAGTGCTGTAAGTGTCCTCTTTATTCAATCACCAATTAAAACCTTTGCTCTCATTCTAGATGTACACAATCACCCACTCCTTCTAACATTAGCAAGAGGGCAAATTTGTTTCCTTTTATTATATGCCAAGCCATGGAATAGCATCCCTTTTCTCTGTATGTAAGTGCATCTGTCTGTGTGGATAAATGGTGATTGGCGTGTGGCTGAAAGTGGGTGGTGTGGAGTGATTAATCAGCGTAATGAGTGTAGATGAGCACTGTGCAGATGGAGCCCACACTCAGGACTGTGTCACCCACCAGGAGGTCTCTTTGCTCCCCATCAGTGCCTCTGTATAGTTTAGCAATGGCTGGAGCTGCATTTCTTTGGCATGTGTCACTTCTTGCTTTGCAGAATTCATGAGCTTGTTTCTGCATGATTTGGCTTTATAATCACCTCATTCTTCTTTCGCCAGGAAGCCTATTAAATATATAATTAGCCATATTTCTGTGTAAATAAAAATTACCTGTTAGTTTTGCTTTTTCCTGTTGCCAAAAATAATCTTAGCTGTGTGTATCACATTGTCCTTCCTGTCAGAAAACATTTCCCCCCAACCATCAAATGAAGAACAAGAATACGGTTAAAAAAGCTACACCACACATGTTCCACCAGTAAAACAAAACACAGAGGGTGTCTGTGGGTTGAAACTGATATCTGAAAGAACTCCTCTGACTAACTCTGTTGATACCATAAGATATAGAGCAAAATGTCAACCGATTCCGTTCATTTTACCTCAATTCTAATGTACCCAGCAAGAAAGTGACATGATCCTTTGGGTTCTAAATTGGACAATGTAGCCCTCGACAGATTTCTGATAATCCCATTAATCAAAATGCTTTTTTGTTCCAAACAGAAGTAATTAACATGCATATTTGCAGAAACTATTTAATTTTTGCTGAAAAATACAACGGAACAGCAAATGTGACACCGACAGTTTGAAATAAATTAATAACTTTGAAATAAGTAACATTAAATGTAGATTAGGAAAAAAAAAACAGGAGATCTATATGTAACAATAATGTAGTTCTGGCTAGTAAACACAACATAAAGCAAAAATAATGTTTTCAAGGGTTCAGTGTTGATCAAGGTTTAGAGTTGATTTAGCAGTGAGACATTTGCCAGATGTGGGATCCTTCTGCACTGATAAAAGTTAACTCTGCTGATCCTCCTGCCTCCCTCTGGACTTTGTGACATTAGCTTGGTTCCCAGATGCTTTTGCTGACTCACACACTTGCTCTCATAGGCCTCACTGAGTCTGCCTCTTTGTGAGAAGCCACACTGCACGGCTTCACATTTATTAAACAGGGATGGGGGGGAGGTAAAGGCAACAATGGAAAACCTTTTAAAGAGGATGACTAAAGATTTTTCATGTGCCATACTGCTCACACTGGTGCTGCACGCAATCCACGCAGAAAGTTAGAGCAGCTGTTCGTCCCTGAAAAAGCTGTATCACAGAGGAAATCTGAGAGCTAAATACTGTTTTTTTTTTCTTTACTTTCGCTTTGTTTCCAAGTTTGCTCATTAATTGTTAATCACTTTCTTCAACAGCATATGCTCAGTGGTTTCAGTGACTTTAAGATTATCAGACTGCTCAGGAGACTGAACTTATTGCTAACAGGGCAGAGTAGCCACTATCAACAGGTGGTTCAGGCTCAGCTTAATGACAGCTGTTCAATGGTGGATGCAGTGCTTCTTCTCCTTGTAACTCAAGCTAACTACTGTATGCTAGTCCAATCATTTGTTTGGAACTAACAGCCTTGAGGGGATTTGCAAGAGATGCAACTCTCCTGATGGCAAATACTACTACTACCACTACTACTACTACTACTACTACTACTACTACTACTACTACTACTACTACT